ATCAGTTTATTTGGAATTCTTATAATATTGTTTATCAAAGTCAACATGGATTTTTTGAATTCATTACATGAAAATATATTCTATTCGTACACAACACCAATGGCATTCACATCAGCTATGCCTCATATTAGTGCTCCTCTTCATATGAATTTATGGGCTTTTCAGGGCAAACCACCTACTGATAGTCAAGAGGTGGAAATAGTTATTCACGATTTCAAATATATTCAAGCATAATGGTTTAATAATAATTATTATTGCTCAAATATTTACTGTATATAAGATGTGTCAAATCGAATCTTATAAAGAATAAATAAAATGGGGAAAAATACATAGATTTAATTCCATTTGAAATTCGTATGCTATACTATTGGACTTAAATGATATTTGTAAGAGAAAATTAGTAGTGAATAATTTATTTTCTTTTAAAGTGTTGTTATTTTTATAAGACAGTAAGACTGGATTTTCATCCCTAAAGTTTATCTATTACACCTAAGGAAATTCTTCTTGATGCTATTCTCAAATAGTTTACCATTTCTTTTTATTCTATTGATCTTGAAAAAATTCTTAATATTAGTTCATACATGATATGATCAAAATTATTGTTATTATTTATAAGAGATATAAAATTTCTATTGTAATCTATCTCGTTGTTTTTGAAAGAAAATGATAGTATCATAATCATATCCGTCAGGTAGGATTAACTATTATTTTAATTTTATTCTAAAGGATCATTAAAACTAAACAGAGAGTATTTATATTCATTTTTTTTTACATTAACAGAAAATCATTTGAGTGTTTATTTAGTAACAAATGAAACAAAAATAGCAGTCGTGAACAGGATGTCGAATAGAACTTAAAAGAAAAATGTTTCTATACACTTTGTTTAACCTAATAAAATGTCCCAGTACACTATGTTTTTGAAAGCAGAGTGTATCAAAGTGTATACATTGAATTTAATTATAATTTTGAAATATAGAAAGTGTTCATATTTTTTGCTAATGAAGAATGTAAAACAAATGCATACTGAATAATAGTAAATGCACAATTAATACGCACACCATTATGTAATCTAACATGAATGGGAATAACTTAAAAAAAATATTTCGAGAAAAAAATAACATATTAACATTAGTAACAAATCAATCAAAATTTTTTTTTCACTATCAATTTCGTTTTCTTCTTCTTGATGGTGCATGTCTATATGATCATCATAAAACCATATTGAATCAACTTTTATACTAAGTTTAATTCTACAATAATTGCACAGCCATCTTGAACAACTCTCATCAAAATTAATCCATTTAAATTTAAACAGAAAAGAAATCAATTTATGGCTTAAAAAAAACAAAGTGTTAATTTTATTCGCAGAATGTATTGTGTACATTTTGTTTTCGCTAGCAACGTGTAAAACAGTGTGTATTTCAAAAGCCGCAAGTGTTTCACCTGTTTGTCTTCTGCTGTGTACAGTTACCATTCAGAACCCTGACCCACACACACACACATGCTACTAATAAAAAGGTTAGCTGTATTACGTCTAAAAGAAAAAGATTATATGAAATTACTATAATCATTATTGAGTCACAAGAAAAGAAACATTCTAGTCGAGTGAAATTAAAGGAAAACAAATTGTCTCGATAGTAAATGAGCACAAAAATGGCTGCATTTAATATTTCTCGTTTTTTTTGAATATGTCGTCACCTTTTTTTACAGAATGAAGTAATGGAAAAAAAATGCTGAGTGTTTCTGGGCCGATAGAAAGAACAAAAAAATATTTTTTATTGCCTTGCATCTTTAGTATATGCCATTCATCTTAGAAAATCTCTATATAAACGATGAGAATCATAAATTTTTTCTGTTCTTTTCCTGTTATTTCCTGGCAGCCTGCGCTCTGATTTTTATTTTCTCTTTTTTTTTACTGAAAAATCTAGTGAGCTGCCTCTTTCTGAATGTTAATAAATTCATTTCTTCACAATATACCGCCTGTTGCGTTGTTTCCATTGTGTACAAGTAAGTTAGCTCACAAGAGAACTCTTAAATGTGTGCAACTTCGATTGCCTTCATTCGTCTATCGTTGGATACAGGACATGAGGATCGTAAAAAGCCTAAAAGGATTTGACCAGAGAGCATTTTCCTGCTTTTCTCAGTGAAATTGCCTAACAATTAAAAATCTTATGACGAACTCAAACACATCGTACATATTTGAAATTTTTTTCAGTACAAGCTCACATATACTACTGGTTAGCCTGAGAACTCTAGATTGTTTGATATTTCATTCTTGAGTTACAGATTATAAACTCAACTTGAAAAAGTACAACGCTACAATTGATTATAGTGCTGTTTTTTCTCTTAGGTTTATGTAACTCTATGCTCTATTTTCATTTTCATTCTTAATTATAAGCTTGTACTTATTCGTTTTCTTTTAATTTTATTAATAGTACAATGAAATAATCAGTGTATAACTAGTGATTATTGTTTGTAAAAGTTTTTAAGTGAATAAAGTATTTTTCTAATGTGAAAAATGTCTACCTGATAGAAGCGCGACATACATGTAATACTAAAAACTTCAATTCGAATATTTAACTGTTCAATTATTCAGAAAACTCTTAAGGGTGTGGGTGTGGGCATGGTTTGAGCGAAGAGACACATACGCTCACACCCTCAGTCATCCAACACTCACATCCACACCCACCGTGAACCACATTTATTTGGATAGCATGTTTGGCTCACTTTCAACGACCTTCTTACTGTAGTTAAATAAGCAAAACAATAGTGTCTTTTAATGGAGATTTAAGGTTTTTTTCTGTTCTCTTCTGTAATCATAGAATCAATGTATAAAAATATCGACATACGCTGACTGAAAAAAACCATTTCAATGCGCACTGTTTCGTTCTATTTTTTAATTATGTACATAACGAAAAATACATTTAAGAAAAAAGTATTTTTCATTTTTCTCTCTACAATAATAATCGACATTCTGTAGAAGAAATATTTGCAAGTTATTCGAAGGCATTCGCACATCGACACTCTTACAAAATAAAACTGTAGATTATACTGAAAAAGTAGGTACCATACGAAATCTAAAAGTAATTTCGAGAGTTAAAACCATTTTGAAACTCTTTTTTTCTTTCGAATTAAGTTGCATCAAACTGCAACCAAATAACTTTTAAAGTTTTATTAAAAATTAATTTTTAAATTCGTCTGAATATATGAGCGAGAAAATATTCATTTTGTTCTACTTGAACATTCTTTTTATGTGGAACGTTTTGCTTATCTTCTGATCTTCTAATGATGCTTGTTGGGAGAGATCAGAATTTCGATGATTTTTCGAGCAGAACTTAGTAGTTGTGAGCAGGACGTTCTGCTTACGACTACGAAGTACACGCATAAGGTATTTAAATATGACTGTTTCGAGCATTCCATCACGTGGCTTCAGACTCGGATTGAAATTCAGCTAAACCGTAATGGGTGTCTTCTAACTGCATGAATTTTCTCGAGATACTTCATATTTTCAGGTAGAACCGGCATCCATATGATTTTTATAGACAACTTAATATTAGAATTTGTCGATCATCTTCTTTATGCTTTCACGAAAACGTTTTCAATCATTATCTTCTCTCGCTCCTTATTTGCAACTTCTAAATACTCAGGAAACTTTTGACGAGTTATTACCCAAAGAATTGAAAAGTGCAATCAATGTGATAATTAACGGTGATTATATGAAGGATTTACATATTTAGCTATTATCTTAACGGTAGCGTACAATGTCTTATAAGTATTTATCTGCAAAAAAGGAATATTTTCAATAGTGACTCACTCTTATGCTTCACCAAGATTATTCAATATAATTAGATCATCTGTCTCCCACGTCTTTTCTTTAGAGTCCTTTCAGATAAGTATGAAAATATAGCTACTTAACAACGTTAATCAGACTTTTTGGATTATAATAAAGATTCAAGAGCAGGTTTTATTTTGATAGTATAGTTAAGATTCTGCAGACAATAAGTGATCAGCAGGAATATACTACTATGCTGTCCTTTTCCCAACTTACCGAGATCCATCAGGTGAACGAGTAGAACATAACGATGACAAAATATTTTCCAAGAGACTTTTTTAATATGATAATACGATGATATTTAATTTCTTGTCACAAACATATCTTCCATAACAGATACATCAGTAATTTCACTAGAACGAACTCTAAAAATTGAATACTTCTATCTAGAAATGGGATCATGCATTAGAAAAACAACCGGTACGACAAAACAACACCCCTGTGGTGGCAATCTTTGTCCTCGTTGTGGAAAATGCACTGATTGGACTTATGATGGTGATTTAAAGGGTGCTATGGAGCATTGGATGAGTGGCGAATCTGATGAAATAACTGATCAGAAGCGTTGGCATCGTCATCCTGGTGCAACATGTGCTTATATTGCTATTCGTGCTCGTCGTACTGCTCATGTCTGTCAATGCGGTTGATAGCAAACATATTTGCTTTATGTATGGCGTTTACCCTCTGACCTTGATGGTCCCGAAGGGATAATTGCTGGACAACAGATATATTTGATATAATATTTATTGAAAAGTAAAATATGAAATAAAGATAAACATAACATTATGTAAGAATAAAGCATGTACAAGTTGCTGCTCAGAAGGGGTGGCCATGAAAACAGAGATTTATGAGATGAGGAAATGTTGAAGTTTAAAAATAAGAAGCTTGAGACTCTAGAATATCACGGAAAATTAAGCAAGTCATCTAATATCATCTTCGATAATAAGGATTACGGAGTCCGACGGGTGGGTGTGGGTGTGAGTGAGCTTGTATCTCACTTAAATCACCCACACCCATCCGTTGCAAAACAAACGCAGCAGAAATGGTTACATAGTAAATATCCAGGATATATTTTAAAATCAGAAGCAATGGTGACTGAAGATGGAAAATATTACGATCGAGTGTCCATTGAGATAGCAGATGGACAACAAGAAACCGTGTTTTTTGATGTTACACAATGCTTTCGATATCCTTCTTTAGATAAGAAGCATCTGTATGACCACACAACAGTAGTATCTAGTCTTCTTTTTGGAAACTGATTCAAAATGATATAGAATATAAAACTTTTTGTCTTTGTATAAATCTTCATATTGTGACTACTAATCCTTCAATCGAAATCTAATAATTAACTATGAGATTTTTTATACTAAGAGATTAAATTCAAAATATCTGATTGTTATGAGAGAGTCAACTATAAAACAAAATAAGGTTTGTAAACGATTGCATTTGATATCATACAATAAAACTCCAAAGATTATATATTCCAATCTTAGGATGATTAAAAAATATTTATTGTAGTATAATGAATGACGCAAAGATACCGAGGGTTAATAGAATTTCGTATACGAAACTGATTATTTTAGATATCGTATCACAGAAGTTAATGCGTGCATGTATGTATGTAAGATCTATATACAGTATAATTTTACTACTCTGATATGGAAACGATTAATTGGTAAAAACTGTTTTTTTCTAATTCAAAATTTATTAGAAATCGCTGATCTATCATACAAAGCAAAGATATCTTTGAATATAGTTGTTAAGCAACAGGAGAAATAATAAAATGTATGCTCTGAATACAGCTTGTGAAAGAAAAGAAGTATGAAAAAATATATTGACATGTGCGTGTGCAAGAAGATACAGTTGTGTTATTTCAAAGTGTAAGCATAAAAGAAGAAAGAGAACAAGAAAACATGTGAGTAATGCGCAGATAAAGAAAAGAGGAAAATGAATCATTGCTTATATTGTCATACTGACGTCACATTATGATTTAATAAATATTACCAAGCTAGTAGAAATTGTTGTTGGGCAATAACACTGCCTCTCACATTCACATTATCACGATAAAATGACTCATATTTCACAATTTTGTCCGTTCTTGCATCAATATGTTCGAACCCATATATATAGTTAGTTTTTTTGTATGGCTTCATCAGTAATCTCCTTCATTAGGAGAGTCTGCCTATTGATTTTCTACTCAAGCAATTAAATATGTTGTCAGATAGTCATGATGACGATGATTTATTTAGTTATACTTCAAGTCAAAACTATAGTGATATTGATTATCAAGTTGATTTAATTGAAATGCGTCAATCTATTAAATGGGACAAATATTGGAAACAAAAACAAAAACAAAACGAATGGTTATGTCCTATATCAACAAGAAAACTGCAATCACATGCTGTACTATTAAAAATTTCTTGTAAACGATATGAACAAAAACCTAAAATTGAACAAAAATCATTTGGTTATCGACGTTTTTCATCATCATCATCAAGGGAATTCGAATGTGATGAAAAATTTCTAGTAGAAACCACAAATACTGAAACCAAAAAACTATCAAAATCATCGAAAAAATTAGTCAAGCAGAAAGGAACAGAATTTTCCAATTTTCGTGCTCAATTCTATCGAAAAAATCATAAAAACATCAAATCATCTCTCAATAAATGTTTCGATACAAAAATCGTTAATATTAGAGAAGCACCAATTAACGAATCTGTTCAAAGTGAATTTATGAAAAGATTAAATCAAAATAGTAATCCTTCAGCAGAATTAGTTTATCATGGAACACATTTTAAAAACATAAAAAGTATACTTCGTTTTGGTCTTTTAATACCAAATCAAGCACACCCAACAGATGAAAATGCGCCAATTATTCAATCAGTACATGGTCAAGCATATGGCCAAGGAATTTATTGTAGTCGACGTGCAGCTTATTCTGTATCATATGCTCAATCTTGCAGTACACTTTTAGCTTGTGCTGCAATACCAAACGATGATCAAGTGGGAAAAGTTCAATATTTAGGTGGAAGTATTTTAGTTTTACCCCATGTATCACAGATTATACCATTGTTTTTCATTGATTTCTCTCCTACGAATGGACCAATTTTTAATAGTCCTTTGTATCCTTCAGATACACAATTACAAACATATAGAATTCCAAAAGAGAAACAACCGCTGATGATTCCAGAACAAATTTTACGAAAAATATTGAGTTGTATGAATAATCGTATTCGAAAGAATGAAAGATATCAAATACGATTACCTAATTAATTTATCTGATGCTTTTTTTTTATTCTTAGTGTAAATAAACTAATTTTGACTTAAACTAAAGTTGGAATCATTAATACATAGAACATATCAAATATTTCTTTGTTTTATGAATAATCTGCAGGTATATTGAATTTACTCCCTGTCTACGCTCATACTCATCCTCAACATGGTTCGTTAACTTGATTATCGTCTCGATTAATTATTCTGCTATTTTATTCGTTATTGCATATATATAAAATGATTAATTTATTGATAGATAAAATTAATGAAATGTATAATGATTAGGAAAAATAAATCAAATAACTAAAACTTATGTAAAACAATGAATATATTTTTTAACTCAAGCAAAAAAATTTATAGATTATGTGTCTATTTACCTAGTCTAATGAGTAATACATAGCTTGAATATAATATTTTATTCTATTTTTTTTTATTTATTATTTGTTAATATTTAAAATATATTCGAATTAAATACAAATAATTGATATAAAGTTTAAGACTTTCAAAAATCAATTTAGGTGTGGGTGTGGGTAAGAGTTAGATTCTATACCCACCCACACCCACACCCTCACACATCCACAAATACAAAGGACAAAGTAAAGACTTGTTATTTCAATTTGAAACCTAAATCAATGAATTGGGAGTATGAATATACATATCAATGGATAATCACACGAGTAAAAATCACTATTTTTACCTATTTACCCTATATAGTAAACAAAAAAAAAGAATCAATTTAGCAATTTTGTGTACATATTACTGATATTTCATTGTAATTATTTATACTTTCTCATTCTTTCTTATCAGATACATAGCGAAGACAATGAGATTTACATCCGTTTTAAAGGTGTAGAATATAGTGCTCCTTCTTCCCTACTCACATCCACACCCACCCTCAAGATTGAAATTAAATCAATTTTATTAAATTTCGAGAAATATATAATTCATAAAATAAAAATTTCAATATACAAATTATTTAAATATTGAAAATAACTCTTGAATAATAATTAATAGAATTTAAATTTATTTTATTTTCGATATTTTAATTGTTTAAGATAAAGTAATTTTTATCACTTGCTAGCCATCGTGTAGCTCGTGGACGATATTAACGTCTAAATGGTTTTGATTCTTCATCACTTTCATATTGATTTAAATGATCTTCATTATCATTATTATTATATTCTTCATTTTCATTTTTATCTTCTGTATTATATTGATTTTTTTCTTCTGATTCAGATATTTCATTAATATCAACTGAAGTTTCATCATATTCTGGTATTGATAATAATTCATAATTAGTATGAAAACCATCCATAAAACCACCTGTACGAGAATTTGTTTTTGGAATATTTGAACCTCGTACTATAAAATAAATAAATAAATAATTAAAATGAAATAAAATCAAAATAAAACAAACAAGAATTTGATTGAAATAATGCTGACATATCAATATTTGATTGTGGTTGCATACCATTACTTGATAAACTAACATAATCTGCTTTAATTAATTCTGCAACTGAAAAATATTTTCTATGTTTATCAACTAATGATGGTAATACATAAACTAAACCTAAATAAAATAAAATAAATACATAAATATTAATATAAATATTAACTTGAATCTTTTTTTGAATCAATAATTGTTTGTTTAGTATATGGATCAACAAATATTGATAACTCTGGTATTAAATTAATAAATTGACCTTTTAAAGCTGAAAAATAAAATAAAATAATATTTTATTAGAAAAACAAATTTGTTTTTTTACGAAAATTTTCACGATTGTATCTTGCAACAGGAATAGAAAGTTTTTCAAATGAATGAGATGATTGACGAAAATAAATATACATTTGACCAACAGTTTCAGAAGAATCAGAATCCTATTTTATCAAATTTTAGAAAAAAACAAAATATTTTATTTACTAAATAAAAAATATTTACAAGATGATTTGAATCTGATCTTAATTGAGGAATTTGTTCGTCACTTCCATCTTCATCATAAGTATCTTAATATATAAATTTTATTATTATATTTAATTAAAAATAAAAATATCGTTTATAAATAATTTTTATTTCTAAATCTGATTAGATATCAATAGATGAACCTATTTTTTGTCTTAATTATCAAGTAACGCTCGTCTAAAAACTCGCGTAGCTCTCTCTCGAAGAAATGGTGTTCTACAATGCTACCGCACATTTTTCTTATATAACTTGCATACACTAACATCAGATTCGAAATTCGCACATCGAAATACCTCTAGAAATATCTTTTTCTAAAAATCGATTTTCAGTGTTTTTTTGACCCTGCGGACAGACAAACAATTTATTCTTACTGGACTCTTCTCTACGAGAAAGAGAATAATTGGATTATAATTAAAATAAATATAAGATTAATGAAAATATTTGAAAATGAATTGATAATTTACCTTGATTTTCTTCGATAAATATTTTATTTGTATTTGATGTATTATAATGAATATATCCAATAATACCAACACTGATAAAACAAATCAATAATATGATAATACTCATATTTCGAATTTGTTTTGAATGAATTATTCGTTTTTGCCAAGGCCTATTAATATAATATAACAGAAAAAAAAGAATATTATAAAAATAAATCAATGATAAATATTTACTGTTGCACTAATGGATAATTTTGTTCTAATTTTTGATATACTACTTGATGTTGTTGATTATCAATCATCATATCTAGTATTTCCAAATCTTTTATATTGATACCATCATTGGCTGGTGTAGGAGAATATTTAGTCTCCATTTTTGATAATAAATCTTCTACAAATATGTAAGACTTCATAGAATATGGTATTTTACAATGTTTGGGCGTACTACTCCTACGCGTGAAGTCATTTCTATGGCACTCACATAAAAAAACATGAGTGTAAGTGTTGTGGCTTCCCCTTCCCCATCACTCACAAGAAAAAAGCCAAATCTTTTTAATTTTTCATCAATACCCTTAATATTCAGCTATCTCTCCCTTACTTTTTCGTAATATTAGTGAATATGTGAGTTCCACATTTTAACTACAAAGGAACTACGCTGACAAGCTTTTAAAAAAATCGTTTTGCGCAATGAGAGTCGTGTACGCAAGTATCATGCATTGATATTTCATTAACTTAAGTTTACGTGCAAAATCTTATCTCTGTCGATTTATTGTATGTTCATGCGCAAGAAAACTGATTATCTTTATTGCTTTAGTCAAAACTAAAGTAAAGAAATTGAAATATATTCAAAATCCACTTCTAATTCTATTAGTTATAGTATTTTTAGGTTTTCGTTAGCAGGAGGAATTCTCTGTAAATAGTATTCTTAGGAAAACACAACATAAACTCATATGCCCTTAATTATTTCATGTTTGAATGTCAAGATAATTGAGTTATTTCTGGAGAAATTGTACAGTTTAGCGAATATTAACTAGTGAACAATCTGTTCTTTTATAAATTAGTCAAAGTTATGATTAAAATAAAAGTTAGAATATAGGAGTGTAAATGTGAATAATGAAACTTACTGTGTAGAATAATTTTAATAGAAATGGTAAACGACAATCAATACTTATTCGTACCAGAAAATACTCTTATCTCACTTTTGAATAATATAATAAAAGAGAACTGTTAGTATTTTTATCTAATAAAACTTATCTTTAACTGATAACTTGTGAAAGGCTATTGAATAGCTGCAATAGATAAAGAGAAGAAAACCATTTTAGAGTGAGACTGATGATTATAAATCAAAACACAGCACTCATCATATGATATTACTCTCATATGATATTATTATTCTCAAATATTTTTGCTTGTCATTGTTGTTATTATCTATTCTGTATATACATAGTCACCTATCTTCTTATTTCAAAGCAAAATCTGATGGGCAACATTTTTATGTGAGGTTTTTTTGTCTTAATAAAATAAAAATTTCTGTTAACTTCTACTAGAACTTATACATACTGAATATTTTCTTATTTTTGTGGCGATGAGATGTATGATGGTAAATAAAGTGATGAGGAGGGTAAAAGCATGAAAAGAGATCTTTGAGACAGATAAAAATAAGATGGTTAAAACAAATCCAAAGTATTGTATCTCGTGGAAGTAGGAGTACAGTTAAAAAAGGATTTCATGCTAAACTCTTTGATTAAACTAAAATGATGATTCTGTAGGGAAAACCATCTTGAGGGTGTGGGTGTGGGTGAGAGTTAGATTCTATACCTACCCGCAGTCGCACTCACACCCTAACAAAGAGAGAGAACTAATCTCTCAATAGAGAAGATGACAAGAGAGGGAAAATACCTACATAAGAAGAATAGAAAGGAAAAATCCTATAGATAGAAAGAATAACAATAGAAGATAAGAATATATAAAGCAGAACGAAAGAGAATAAGTCGCAGGGCATAACAAAAACGTCCGACAACAAGAATCCTGCCTAGGACCTTTTGGTATTAGCCGAAAATATTCTATATATGATGTTGCGTGCTTAACCTTTCCTTTTAATTATGTAGAAAGTCAATGAGTGATAAAGAGATTTTTCAGTATGCTGACGTAATTCAGAAATATTCTTGGCGCCACTGTCCCTATTATCGTAGTATTGACGGTCAATTTTCAATCACGATGAATACCTGTCTTTTATATCAATTACAGCAAGTAGGTAGTAGGAACAAGGAAGGAATACTATTACAATTATACAATCATTTCAATACATTTTTGAGAACTATCAAGAAAACATTAGTGTCGAAAAAATATATAATGGATAGTTAATATATATATATATATATATTTGTGTGAATGAATATTTAAACTTACTTTAAACGGTAATCAGAGTGTGGATATAACGATTTTCGATAGAAGAGGTGCTTGTTTTGATGCTATTACACTTTATTATTTTTTTCTTCTTATCAAGAATGGCATTAATTTCGTGCAAAACATATACTTACATACACGCCGCCTAGTAGAGAGAAAGGAAGAATACGAAAGAAAAAGATAATAAAAACGAAATGGAATTTGATCAAAGAATCGCATAAAGTATAAAATAAGGGTAATAATTCAAATAAGAATGAGTCATACGGACAAAACAAACAACGTCATAGTGAGTGAGTGTACATGCGTACGTCTATTTTATCCAAAGTATTTCAGACTCATCACTCTTTGAGGATGAATCGTCGGTAGAATTACTTTGATGATGTTTGATGATATATAGGAAAGAATCAGTTTTCTGGATTTTTTCCAAGTATAGTCGTGACTGTAGAGAATTTAATTATATCATTGAATGGGACTCATTGAGTACTATTTAACACACAAATCCAGACAAATGTCATGTGGAAATACTAGAGTCATCAGATAACTTCACGTACGTTAAACAATGACTAATAATACAATGAAAAGAAAATAATGATATAATGATTCATTGTTGAGAAGTATTTTTTTATCACGTTCTCTTATGAAGAAAAGAGGATGATGAAAATTTTTTTTCTATGATAAACAATAGCAATCAATTTAAACTATAAAAAAAAACTATTCATACCGGAATTCGAACCCAGACTTTGTCGTTGAAAGTGTCGGATCCTCATTATTAGGCTGGACGGGTGCATTGTGTTCAAACAACTTCAAACAGATCCATATAATGTCTTTGAATATATTAATATTTTTGAATTTTATCAATATTAATATAATTCTATGTAATTAGACTTTGTTTATATGTAAGATTTCATGTTTTAAATATTGTTCATATATTAAACTGATACTGGGAATAAACGAAATGATCTATTTGTATCGAAGAAAGAGTCGAGTTTCTCAATTGTTTCTTCAATGCGCAAGTATATACACTCTAAAATTTTTTTTTCTAATTATCCCTTTGACAAAAAATATAATTTTTAAGTTACATGTCGAAATCAATGCGATAGAGTACATTACAATAGATAAATCAAGAAATCGAACCATGATAATTGACAGTTGTTTTGAGTAGTTTTATCTCTGCATGTTTTTTTATATTTCAAAATGAATTGTTTTATAAGATGGAAAAACTAAACTTCGAAAATTTTAAGTGCAAATAACTTTAATTATAGTACCACTTGTACAACTGCCTCCCATTTTTCGACAAACAGTAGCTTTGCAGGAATCACAATTAGCCATTATCTCTGATGGTTTGCTGTATTCAGATCAGTTTAAACATTCTCATGTACAAGTAACACGGGTACTATTAGATTGTTGAGCATTAACCATTATCATTTTTGTTGTCATAATCGGCAATAAGACTATACAGTGAATAAAATACATGATAATATATTGCACTTCATGTTTAATACTTTTTCGTAAGTTATATTAAGACGTAAAATATTGTTAGAGTGAAAAAAAAGTCTTTGTTCTAAATAATTCGCTTTTCTATGTGAGAATGCGAGCAGATGGTAACATTAAAATACAGAGTTACTTAACTCAGATAAATTCAATAATCTTTTGTTGTCTTGAGTTCATGTGGATTATATAATCTGAATATAACAGCTATCGATATACTCTCTTACTCTGATTTATTAATACTCGACAGTTTTTTTTGTTATTTAATCGATTCAAGAATTATATTTGAAATTATTCATTCATATGCATACTATGAAGAAAAACAGTTACAAACTGACGATTTTATCTAATGAAAGGATACCATCACATTATATACATATTGAGAATTAATAATAGAGTATAAAAAATAATTTGTACAGGTAATTAACAATTATACAAATAATCTGTATTATTATGTTTGAAACATTATTATGAACAATATACAATGGAATAAACCTAAGAATGATTTATTAAGGATCTCTATCCCTTGAAAAATAGCAACTTTCGACAAAAATACCAATTAGGTATTTCTATATAGTTAGATTGGCCCATAATCTCTATTTTTGAATGCACCAGAATTCATTGATTCTATAATGGCTTTAGAGTAGTTTTTTAAAGATATTCAACGTCTTAAGGGATGTGAATGTAGGTGGGTGTCTATTCTTTCTATTCACTTCTGCGTTCACACCCACACCCACACCCTCGCTTTTATCTATGATCAAAAAGCCTTAAATACAATTAGCATTTGGTTGACAGTCACTATTATCATGTTATATTGATCGTAACATCATATATCGTACAAACAATGTGTCATACATATTATTTACATATGTATTCATTCTTTTTCTTTTCTTTCTAGTATTCTCTCTGGGTTTTTCCATATATGTGATTCATCAGGTATTTTCCCTGCATATTAAGGTATATCTTGGAATATACCAACATACAAAATGTGTGAAGGACGTAAGTTAAATTTAATAAATAATTTATAATTAGTGGATCTTCGTTAATGTTTAGTTTATATTACTCATAGCAATTTTTCCAAACCTATAAAACTGTTAATGTAAATAATAAAATGGGCGTATTCGACTTTATCTTTGATATAGGCAAATGACAATCGATCTGTATAATCATATGTGGTATTATACAGAGTTTTTCAATAGATTATTCGGGCGCAGTTTTATTCTATAGAAGGAAAATGGAGTATATTATATAAGAAATATACGAGCATCATCATTCTCTATGAGTCATTATATTGCAACAGTTATATAATCAGCTGAATAAAATGATATAATATTATACGCGCAATAGAAAATAAACCGAGTAAAGAATATGAAAGCAATAAAAATAGATGCTGACTCACACAGCAATTCTTTTAGTGATAAGGAAAAAACCAGAAACAGAATCATTTTCTTTTCTCTTTTTCACTTCCTACTTTTGGTATGACGCTTTAGCGTGTCTCTTTTTATTCAATATTTATCATACGAAAATAAAGTCACCTGATTGGACTTCGACCGTACTTATTATTACGTATATATTATAGATAAGAGTATATATATATATCTTTGGAGATATAGTAAGATATTAAAACTCAAAGATTGAAGTTACAAAAAAAGAACGCTTTAATTATTTCAGTTAATCAAAATAAAGTAGGTATGATACATTTGTTAGAATTTTTATTAATGCTTAGCCATCTATTCATGTTTCTGATAGTACCTTACGGTCATACATCGCATCATTCACCGAAATGCCGAATTCAAGTCCTCCAAATCAAGAAAACAATGGTAGTTTAAATTCAGAAACAATAAGATGTAGTGCTGATGGTATATGCGAAATTAATGCTACTTCATCAATGCAAATTAGTACGACAAAGAATTCAAAAATACAAAATGAATATGAACAACAACAGCAGCAATTTGTGTATGATTTATGGATTCAAGTTGGCAGTCCTATATAAATCTAAATAACACAAACGATATATTTTTTATACAAGAAAACTTCTATTTTATCATGTACTACATTTATATTGTGAATATTTTTCTGTATTATAAATCAATAAATAAGTCATTTAATTAATATTAGTTGGATGAGTGTACTGATGATATTTTGGAAATATATTTCATTTTGTCATCACGTTATGAATCATCTTTGTATATTCAGATGAGTAATACGAAATGGTATCTTATTTAATCATTTTTTTAATTATGGTCATCTCTCTTACCGATGCTTTGAATTCTTTACGCCTAGGCTCTTCAAAATACATGTGACGAATCTTGAATTTTTAGTTTTTATAATGACATATTTATATAAGATGATTTTTATAATAAAAGAAAGAACAAGATGATCGTCCTTCACTATTTTTGTCGTAGATAATGCAAAATAATTAATAGCTAAGTATGAATCATCTCTTATGTAATAACTCAATAAATAAATAAATATACCCTTTTCTACCTTTCGTTATTTATTTGTTTGTTTATTTGCTTGCTATCCTATCTTTCGCAACATTCTGCACTTTTTTGTAATCCTGTTCTCTTTTCTAATTCATTATCATTTACTATTCTTTTATGAATTATTTCCTCAAGAAGATTTTCATACGTGAAAACTAATATCAGGAGTACCAAAATTTTTGCGACACTGCTTATTTTGGATATAACTAGACTTGCATAAATTTCTATTGATTTGTTCTGACAGTTTCCCTGTATTTAATATTAACGACTTATACGGTATTGTTTTGTCCTCGCATCATAAACATGTTGAGAAAGTTTTGTTTATTTGTAGTAGAATCTTTTTATACCGCTTTTGAAGAGCTTTCGATAGCGAATCTTTCAAAAGATTACTTTCAGAACAAGTTACAATAGTATAGACCAGAAAAATAAAAGATTTCTATATCTCGGCCTCTAATTCGCATCTACACTTTCAAGAAAATGAAACGATCGTGAATCAAAAAATTTTATATATTAACTATTGAATAATATATCAAATTTTATTCATAATAGTTGTTTCATCGGTTTTCTAAATGAATATGTTATTGGTTTTTAGATAATATTATGTAATGATAATTAAACCTTTCACAGGAACGAGATATATATGTTCCATTTTTTTCTTTCTGTTCTTTTGTACTACCTTCCGCACTGTTCCATTCAAAACTAGCAGATTAAAGGGTTAATCCATTGTTTACTGACAACACATAAATACTTCATGATCTTTATTATGTAGAAGAACTATTTAGTTTATCGCTCATAATACATATTTGTACAAATCAATATTAGACAATAAGAATTTTTAGATAATAATATAACTTATGGCACTTATAAGTACCATCGATAATTAAAGGGTTAATCATAAAAAAATTTTTATAATTCTTTGACACTTCATTTCATGAATAAATAAAATGCATTTTTAATCTGTCATAAGCTATGAAGAATAATGAAAAGAAAAATGTTTTTTTATACATCTTTTAGAGAAAAAAAAAAGAAACAGTAAAGAGTATATTTTAAAAACTTTACGGATAACAACAAGATTAAGTCAGTTGATGTCATATGACTTTTTCTTGTAAAGATTTAAATATTTGCAACAGACTTTATCATTTCTTTAATGAAATGATACTCGTGCAACACTAACGTGACAAAACGCTACAGCCATAGTATATGATTTTTTTGTAAAACAGAACAATCAATAAATATTTTCATTATCCTAATTTATTTTACCATCGCATTAAAACGCGAATACAAGTGTAATGGATACTTTGGACGAAGGTACAATCATTCTTTACCGTGTTAAATTTTTCATTCTACTTATATTACAAACTTTATCAATATTAATTACTCTTGTTGTTTTTACTTTTTTTGTTACACATCGCGCTCTTTTGAATACTCCTCAAAATCAATCTATAATATTTTTACTAATTGTCAATTTTCTCTTCGCAACAGTTGATTTACCATCACTTACACATTTCTATTCTATTGGTCGTGTTATTCCAGCAACAGCAGCTTATTGTACATGGTGGACATTTTTTGAGTATACTCTTAATTTAATTAATGAACTACTCATGACAACAATTTCTATTCAACGTCATATGCTTATATTTTATACACAAGTTTTACAAATACGTTTTAAACGTATTGTATTTTATTATTTACCTTTTTTATTTTGTCTTATTTATCCAATTGTATTTTATTTGAGTATAATCGTCTTATATCCATGTGATGGTACTCAATGGGATTTTACTTCAAAAGTATGTGGCTATGCTAATTGTTATCTTATATATAGCAAAGTATTGAGTACATATGATTTAGCCGTGAATAATGGTCTACCAGTCGTAATTATTCTTCTAGCTAATGCAACACTTATAATACGAGTTGTACGACAGAAACGTCGTCGACAACGGGTGATCACTTGGAAAAAACAAAGACGAATGACATTGCAACTATTTAGTATTTCGACTCTCTATTTAATTGCATGGTTACCTTGTCTTCTCATTGGACTCGTTCAACAATTGAGTTCTCCAAGTTTTTTAGCTGATTTTCAATTTAATTATGCACTTGATCTTGTCTATGTTATATATCTTTTGTTACCTTGGCTATGTCTTGGATTACTGCCTGAATTTCGTCAATGGATCTGGAAAAAAATACATCGTTGGACAACAGTACGTAATAATGACGTTAGACCTGTATGATTAGCTTTTTAAAAAATCTAAACATAGATAGATATTGTAATGTTCTTGTTTTGTTTATTTCAGTTTTCTATGTAATATAAAACATTATTTTCATCAAATATATTAGTTGTCAGATTTACTCAGATAATGCTTATGACAGTCATCAACAAAAAGAGAAGAATATTATTGTTATCTTATGTAACAAAATTCTAACAATAAATTTACGCCTCTTCTGTATTTTTTAGAGTTAGAGGATATAAAGAAATCAGATTTAATATTACTCAGATATATATCCCAATGAGTCCCATAATCTATTAGTTGAGAAGGAAAAATAGATTTTTATTTTCTTTTTAATGTGTAATCCTTGAATTAAAGCAAAGGAGCATATGGATTAGTCACGTAAATAAACTATTAATAGAAAAATGTACTGAATAAATAAATATAAAGAGTACGTTAGTTGTTGTCGTGCTGCAACACGTTGAATAAACTAGAAGAATATGTCTATATATTTTCAACAACGTTATCTTATCCCAAAAGGAATAATAATAAATTGTATTTTATTATATTAGATAAAGTTTTTCTCGTTGTAGATCAAAGAAAGCATATCGTAAACTCGATTTGATAATGAGTGAATAAACTACATCTTCAGCTTTTTTTGTTTGAGAAATAATATCAAAAAGAATATAAGAAGCATAAATCGTTATATCTTCTTTTCTGAAAAAGAGCTAGCATATAAATTAGATAACTATTAATAATGATCAAATGATGTACATTGTAAAACTCATTACTCTCTTTTATTTCATATAAAATTGATATCATAGATGTACTTTCAAGTATTGTACTACTAGAATTGGATATTTTGTCTCTGATTCAACGTAGAAGAATTTGAAAAATAAATTTAAATGACGATATTTATTTCTAGTTATCTATTCTTTTGTTCTAGCATATTAAACTGAATACGATGAAGTAATTCATAATTACTTGTTGGCTCTTATGGAAATTAATCGTAAAATTCGTACAAAAGGATTTATATTCATCATCAGTCTATATGTTAAAGTTCATAAGAAACAAATCGTCATTACTAGAGATATAGAATTTAACGCGAAGATATCATGTATTTATAATATTTATAAAGAAGATTGTAGTCACCACAAAAAGTTTCTATATAAAAGACACAATTGCATATACCACTATAATGATACCCATGTTTTCTTGTAATATATGTTGTCTCCCTCCTTAAAACAATGATTTCAACGATTATATCTATTAAATATCAAAATAAGTATGTACGAAATTAAAAAGGATAAAAGAATATTTTTTTCTTAATGGTTATTAAAGATTTTAACTACGCTAATTAAATAGAAATAAATAAAAAAAATAGCAGATTAACTATAATGACTGACATGCAATTACGCAGCATATAAATGTACATATATATGTGAATCGGTCGAAAAGTTTATAGGTCGGCTGTTTATTCTAGGCATGACGAGCATAGAGAATATAATAATGTTTTTCAATAATATATATTCCATCCAATAGTTTCGTTTTAAGATTGTTTAGCATCAACTTTTCGAGTATGAGCACAATTACAACAGTATTTACGTATAATTAACCATCCTCCAACGATAACTCCAAGTGCAATGATAATTATAGTTGTGTATGAATATTTTTCCGGAATTTTACCAAATGGTTGATTAATATTGAAATATTTCATTGAAACCTGTTGTCCAGGTTCAGTTTCTCCAACGAAATCAATTGTTTTAGGCATCTTATGAATACAGTTAGTATCATTCCATTCTGATGGGAATAAATCTGGAAATACCCAAGAACAACTTAAATGTACAGGACAATCATAACCAGCCTGCATAACATTTAATGTAACATGTCCAGCGAGAGGAATTCCATAGAATGTTCGTGTTTTTCTTGTAAGTGATGCCAAATGTACAGCTTCTTCATAAATTGTTGCTGTATCGAGTTGTCCTGAAATCATCAATAGAGGTGAATACGATGCAATTTTAAAACGATATTCATCTATTGGATATTTTGGCCATTTTGAACGTATCTTAGCATAGTTAGTCGGATCTTTCGCTGCCATAATTGTCGTTGCCTGCCAACCAAGTATCGTATTAATATCAACTTCATCTTGATCCTTTGCTAAATAAGTTTCAGATTCAACAATATTAAAATGTAAAACTACTGAGCTTATGAATCCAGGTTGCTCTGATTCGCCACCGTTCTGACCCAAGTCTGGGGCAACAGTACGAAAAAAGAATTTTAAAATTTCCACATCATCTGAATCACAACGATATAAACGATAGATAACAGCTGGAATAATAGTACGATCCATATAATGTTCTGCAGGTCCCATCAAATTAAAAAATAAATCACGAAGACTATCACCAGTTATATTATATTCAGTTAAATGATTGTTGATACATTTCTGTTCGTTTAAATCTATTTCCATTAATATATTCAGAAGCATTATGTAAGGTGGTTTATCGAGTGGAAAAGCTTTAATACAAGCTGGTTGTAATCGACAATAGCTTAAAAATTCGAAAGCTACAGCTGATCCCAACAATGAATCACGAAGGCCTGAACTCAAAATAGGATTTACAACACCATCCATAACAGCTGATTGAACAATATTCGGATAGATTACTAAAAAACGATTTAACCAATATGTACCAAATGATAGTCCGACAACCGCAACACGTCCAGGATAATCTGCTTTATACGATTGAATTTGTACAGATAAATCATGTGCTGCTGATGTTACAGAAAATTGATTTAATCCTTTAACACCATATTTCGTTGTTAAATATTTAATACAATCTACATTTATAATTTGTGATCCATTGTCATCACAACTCAATAAATTTGATAATCCAGTACCACGATGATCAGGTAATATTATTGTAGCACCAGCATTAGATGGAAACATTTGTGCAACAGCATAAAATATAGACCATCCTGATAACCCTGGTCCACCGTTTAGAATAAAAATTGTATTATTTTCTTTAGGTGGTTTAAGTGGACGTAATCGAGACATCGAAATGTTTATAGTTTTAGCTGGTTGATTATAATTTAAAGGCGCTTGTAATGTACAACAATCTACTGAATAACCAAGATGTTCAGATGGGTATCCAGGAACATTACATTCATGCCATACACAACGATGTTCTAAAGCATAAGCACTCGCGTCAAATGAATTTGTATCAGCATTATTCTGTTTCAAAAATATGCATATTAATATTTGTAATACCACTAATCGATACATCCTAAAATATAAAATATGACTTTGTGTTATATAGTTTATATTACAATTTTTCTATATTCTATTCTCGTTCTATCTTTGTTAAAAGTACTGAATGTAATGGGTATATGTCTATGTTAAGTTTCTATTTCTCAAAAAGAATATTATGAGTGACTACTGTTCTTCATTTCATTGATTCATACTTCAAGAACTACTCAAAATTTCATGCAGTTATTGTCGTATAGTATTAAAGGTCTAGGAGGATTTCGATAGAAATATGTATAATAACTCTCAAAAAGGCATATACTTCATAAGAAAATAAAAACTAATCGAATATTTTCATATGTATAAATTAGAAGAAAAAAACAACCACATATATCAATAGTACATATTCATATTCTTACAGTCAGATATATAAATAGTGCGATGTAAAGGTGAAATAAGGCGAGGATATTTTTTTTTGTCTCTTGTTTTTTATCTTTTTTCTATATGTGTATACTAGAAAAAAAAAGAAAAAGTAATACTAATTGCGCAAACTCACGAGGTAAATATATAAGGAAAAAACAAGATTTTATATGACTATTACGATAGTTGTTTGAATATTCATGTTAGCAGCGGGATATAAATATGAAAATAGTTTGAAAAAATATGTCATTTCTTTTCAGTTGTAAGACTAAAAGAAATTAACATATGGATTTTTCAAACGTTAATATATCAGAAAAAAAATTCCGGTATACAGTTGACTGATTTATTTGATAAATTATAAATGACAGATATATGATATATTATCGCTTACAATAAAATACATACCTTGCTATGCATGATTGCGCTTATAATATCTACAAGACAATAGAAGGATTTGTCAGTAATGTTAATATTGTTGCTATATGACTTGAATGTGATGATAGTTGATTGCACATCAAAAATATAATGAATATGCTCTTTTTGATATAAAAAAAAAACTTTTTTTGTAGGTACTCGTAGCTTGAGTCATATTATATTTACCCTGGACGTCTATAAATATAAGATAACATATGAAATTCTATTAAAACTACAGCTAACTGAAACATAATGCATTATTCATTGTTTCTTCAATACTGATGTTTTTTTTATAATCAATGTGTAGTCGAAGTAAATATCTTCATTTGAAAAACTTATACGAAAAATTATAATATATCATTTTTTTCGATATCAATAAAAGCGTTTTGTATCGTTATTTTAAGCCGTATTAAGACACAAAAATACACTTCATTGAGACGAAATATCGAATTATTATTGTTCTAGTCTAACAAGAATTTCTTATGAAACAATAAATGTTCGTTTTGATAAGATATGAACGATTGAAATTAAACGACTTTATCATTAATATGTAATTCGAAAAAATTAATATATGCATTAATTTTCACGTAGGGTGTGGGTGATTGATGATATCCATATTTCACTTTTAAATTCAACGCGAGTCTCTTGTTATATATACATCTCGAATCACGATAGAGATAAGAAAAATAACATAAAATCTGTCTATCAGTCAAACATAACCATGAGAATATTAAAAAACCATTAAAGAAGGTCAAAGACATGACTGATGACGTATTCTTATATTTAATATCATAGAATATGATCTGTTGACGTTAACAGTAGTATATATTATGTCAAACAGTATTCAATTTTTAATTTAATTTCAATGAAGAAAAGCAATATATTTATCCTCCTATTCTTTTTTTCAGTGAGATTAATATTTAGAAATTCAGTCAGATTTATTATCTTATAATAGCCATACGCGATAATTATAACACTATAATATATATACTGATTGAATGAATATAAGGCTTGTTAAAATATTGAAGATTGTCTTCTGTATATCTATGTGAATCAAACATTATACTTACGTTTACATTGCATCATAATATAATCTGACATATGACTAAAAACAATGTTAATTTAATATAATTTTCTTTTTCATACATAGTAATATTAAATTTATATTTAATACTAAAAACAACGCTGATATAGTATAATTGAAGTATGAAGAATATATAAAAAATAAATAAAGTTTAGAAATAGTTTATGTGTTGAAAAAAAATAATAATGAATGATTAATACGGTGTTTTAATTAATTTAATATAAACATCTTCATCTTGATCTTGTTCTAGTAGATTATTACCCGAATAATTCATATAACCATGTTTACGTGCAGTCGATAAAATTTCAACTAATTTAGCGACTTGAGTATCGCCAAAGATCTAAAAGAAAAAATAAATACGTATATCTAAACTATTTTTCTCTAAACTTACTGGTATTAGTTCACCAAATTTTAGTTGTACGGCATAATCACCTTGTTGTCCATTATCTTTAATTAGCTGAAATACATGCTTAATTTCATTGATTACATTAGCTGGAAGTTCTTGTTGACTAGAGATAGTAGAAAAAAATAATAACCATTGAAAATTTCAAGATACATACTCATGTATAGATACTATCTCTGGTGTTGGTGATGCCCGTGTTAAATTGATAGTTTCTTGAAATTTATTAAGTCGTGCAGCTAAATGATTTTTTGGTTTCTCCGGTTTTTTATACATTTGTTTGTCATATTCTATTGAATTGTCTTTGTTAGACGCCATGTTAAACGTAGTGGGTAGTTGTTGTGTGTATGTGTTGTCGAATATAAATGATATGAGTATGTATCCGATGCGGAAAAGAAAAAAAATATATACATGAAGTTGCTGTTGTTGTTGTTGTTGTTAGTTGAGAAGATATTTTTAACTAATGGTAGAAAGAAGGAGGAAAAAGAAGTTGACGACTATTTTTTTCTGTCCTTTTCCAGACATATGTATAACCAAAAATCGTCATTTGTTTCGTTCTGTTTTGTTCTTGGGCATAGATTAGCACAGACGTCGCTTTTTTATGAATATAGAAGTACCAGAACAAAAATATTTTCCATATACTAGAATATGGTTCGTCTTTGGTTATTATCCAATTGTTTTATTTGACTGATGTATATATTAAAAATTATCGACACATTGAAATTTTTTAAGCCTGTTCTTATAGTATAATCAGTAAATGAAAGAATTCAGTATTCTTCACAGAAAAAATGTAATGATGAAAAATTTTTCCTATGTATATAAACTCTTAAAAACAAGTCTCACATACCCATATACAAAGTGCATTAGTAGATTCAAATTTTTGTATTTTTTTCATAATTTATCCACATATATCAATAGGTTAAAGTACAAGTTTAGTCATCCATCGAAACGTATGCACTTCCTTTCTACCTGTAAACAAACATGACTTAGGTACATTCGTCATATTTTATATGATCCGATAAATATTAGTAATGCAATAATTACTAAAAAATAAATCAACCATTGCATTACTTCCCTTTTTCATGATATTACGCAGTTAGAAAAAACGTAATTTCTTCCAACCTGGAGGTATATATAAAGCAAGCAAAATTAACTGATAATCGCAATAACGCTCTACGACAACATAGTTTATCCATTCAGTCCGTTTTCAAACCATGGCTTTACCAACTGATCGAAAAGAGCATATGAATTTATGTATTTGTGTCATCTTTTTAATTGCATGGAATGTTGAGGGTCAAACGACTAATTCACCATCCATCTCGTGCTCGAAATCTCAATTATTATGCGGTGGAAACCTTTGTTATGATCCAACTACTCAATATTGTTCTGCACTCGGTACAGTGATTCAATGTATTGCTGCTTGCGGAAATCAATGCTACAATCCAGCAACACAACAATGTTTCAACGGAACATTATGTTATGCTGGACAACAACT